TTCAGGAACATCCGAGATGGTGGTGAGACCATCCATGCCGACAAGACCGGCCCATATTTGGTGTACATGGTGTACAGGTCGTTTCGCACGCCGCCGCCCGTTCGTTAGGACACGCTGGACAGGGGGAGAAATGATTTGCCTTTATTTGTTTGCATGTCCAAATCATTAGGCGTCCATACATATGCCATGAAGCTAAGGCTTTTGGATGAGATTGTTCAGGAAAAGAATGCAGTGAGAGACCAGTAACTGGGACTCAACATCATATACGTGTGCCTCGCACACACGCCAAAACAATTGATTTGATTGCAACATTGCGAGGTGCTCGGCCCTTATCCCACTTGAGGCACGTTACAGGCCAATGGTTTCGATATATTTCAATCATGGAAAAGAGTCAACAACATTCACGAACCTTACAACCTTACAATTCAAGCCCTTTGCGATATTCCCCCTCGACTGACAGCTGTATATATAGCCTGGTCAGGACACTGGCGAAGGAGACCAAGACCAACAAGAAGAACAAGAAGAACAAGAAGAACAAGACTGAGAGCGGGAATGGTGAGAAGGCCAAAGGAAAGGCCAAGGCCAAGAACAAATCCGGGAAGTCGAAGCCTTCAAAGGCTGCTAAGGGTAAGAAGGAGAGAAAGGGGAAATCCTCTCGACGCCCTTCCGACCCTGCAGCCGCAGAGCAGGCCTCAGAGAAGCCTACTCAGAAAAAAAGTCGCAAATAGCGACCTGAGCACAAAGGGATCGAGAATTCACTCTTCCTTCAGTTTTCTATGTGAGTTCAAGTATACACCCTCTGTATGGCTCTCTATATAGTCTGGTATTGTGGTTTGGTTTGTTGGGTATGGGTTTGGTGGATGGATCGACCCCTGCAGTGCAACAGTGCTGTTTTGGGGAGCCAGGCCATGTGGAAATCCACGTGGATCAATCCAAGCTATAGTCCGGGCATCGCATTGAAGCTCTGGGGCTTATGGAGTTTCTGTGCACCTATCTATATCTGACCTGTGGTCTTCACCACGTGTTAGAGTCTTTTGCAACCCAACGATGAGAAGATCAAAATGGTACGTGCTGCGTGTGAACTCTTTATGCATGAATGTTGGGGTTATTTATAATCACAATTCCAGTCCTTTTTTGAGGGCATGCAAACTATACTTATGGTGAATTGACCCAACCACTGTCCTCGTTCAGAACATGTCCATGCATGTTCTCTTTCACTGATATCTTCGGTCTTGAACTGCTTCCCATGCCCACACCACAACTGCCAGGGCCCTCGCATAGAGCTAGACGGCTGGCGTGGAAGTATGGCCGGGGCGAAGCTTTGCTTGTGAAAGTTGTTGATGTTGATGTCGATCTGTTCAACTCTGAATTGAAAGACCTGGGAAACAAATATAGTGTTATAGTTGTTTCACTCCAAAATACTTTGGTGCTGTGCCTTTGTGAGGCAACAGGAAGTCTCATGCATATACGAGTATATACATTTGCTGTGTCAACATTCTTCATGATAGGTCTGCGCATGCCTATATATTGATTATATAGTTTGGTGGTCGCAAAGCCCATGGCCAACCATCTTAGGAGAAGTGCCGCGACATTATCGCTGATGCTGCTGCGGACATGCGAGATGCGGCAGCCTTTGGTTGCGGGGTCTGTCCGGTTCTCTCTGCCCTCGCGACGATCCACCCAAAAAAATCAGATTCTGGGAATCGAACAACTTAATTATAAACACTTTGGGTTTGCGTTCATGTCCCTTTAGAAGGTTTACTCGTCATTTTGCAATAACTTCAACTCGGCCTCAAACCAAGGAAGATGGAGTTCAACAAGTCTTTGAGGACTACAAGTTTTACTACCCGGTCCCGGTGACTACAGAAGAGAGGGCACCCTTGAAGGGATTTCCATGGATCAAACCTTCAGATTTTCTCCGCACAATGCACAAGATGAATGACTTGTGCCACCTGCTGGGAGGTTATAGCCTCAAGGAGGCCAAACCGATGCTGCTAAACTTTTGGAAGAAGTACAGGGCTGCATACCCAAATTTCCAATTGTGGGAGCAAGTAGACGATGGCCACAAGGACTTGTCACAGTGTCTGCCACTTTTTCTTCACGGAGATGAAGGAGTCAGCTTCAAGAAAGGAGGCATATTTGTTTTCAGTTTTCAAGGGGCCATTGGATTTGGGTCTTCGAAAAGGGCAAAGGAGATGGAGCAGAACCTCAGGGCCTTAGACGAGGGGATTCCACTCAATTTTTTGAAGAATGCCCTTCAAACTCGAATTTTGATTTGCGCTTGTCCCAAGGAGAGGGGTGGCTTCCGTTTCAAGATCCAATTTTCATATTGGAAGAAGGGTTATACAATGGTTATAGAGTATATAGCATGGATGGGTTCCCAAATGCTTATACACGTTGGCCCCGGTCAGGAGCTCTACAGCGAAGACAGGAGGCTGTGGCATGCAATTTTTGAGTTTGTCACCGAAGACCTCGCTCAAGCGCAAAGACATGGAGTTCAGCTTGGGGGAGGTGAGGTCATCTACACAATTATACTTGGAAACAAGGGGGACTGGAGCTACCTTGTTCCCTGGTCGATTTCAGTTTTAGCATTTTTGGGATTTGACACACCAGCTATTCAGTTTCAGGACGTTGAACCAACCCTATATATAAACAGTATATATTCATATCGGTTCAAGCTGGTATCCAGTCACGTTGCACAAATATATAGACACGTTTTGTGAAGAAAGGATTTTGTGGGCATCGCATAACCTCATCGAGCCGTATATACATGCTGACTTTCAGTCTTGGGACACCAAAGGTTGAATCTGCAAACCTTGATCGGTCCTACAGAAGGGCGCCAAAAGGAGCTGGGGAGAAGGATTGCGGAGCAGAAGGGGCTGGCATGTGCCACTTATGCATCTGCGGTCAGGGAATTGACTGGGAGGATTTGTGACTTCATCCTTGAACAAAAACATTCTTCTTTGAGCTTCCTTTTGTAAATTGTCGGAAGCACTGGAACACCCGAACCAATGGAAAGTATAGAAAGATGAACAAGAGCCCCTTGCGTGTTTCAATATGTGCATGTTTACCTTGGGGTCAAAGACTGGCCAGACTTAAATGTGTTGAAGCGTTTAATTCCCGGTCGTCAATGATCGATCCCAATGAGGAAAGCTGCTGATGAGGCTATGGACGCTTCATATGTTGAGGAGATCCAGACCCCATGGTCGCGAGAGTCTCCTTTGACAAGGCTCCTACTACACGACGCTGGACCGAATGGAAAGTCCAAATTCCACCAGATGGACATTTGGCATGCCATTCATCTTGGAATAGGCAAGTCCTGGATCGCGTCTGGAGTTCTCATGCTGCAAAAGATCATCCCCGAGTCCAACATCGACAAGCGGGTGGCAGTCATCGCGGCTGGCTACAAAGACTTCTGCAAACGTGAGAAAATAGATCCTGTGATCCGCAGAATCGACAAGGAGACCTTCGGACAAAGTTCAAAAGAGCGCACTGGAAGTTGGAACAAAGCCGCTGTCACATCCAACTTCATGCGGTACCTTGAAGATTTTTGTCGTGAGCATGCCGAGCAGATTCGGGGCGATGAACGTCTGAAGATTTTTGTTTCTTTCCAGCAATGGTGCGGGTTTGCTTGTAGTGAACTCTTTGGTCTCAGTCTTTCTTCGACTGTTGAGGTTTTGTGTTCTCGTTCCTTCGCATACATGCATGCACTGAGGCTCACGGAACACAGTGCGTGAACCGCTTCATGAAAGGCATCTATGAGCAAGATGTTTTTATAGATTCTGGAGTGGCTGGCCATTTAAGCGATTGCTTGTACCAGTTCATTGCTGCCTATTGCTATCAGGCAGACGCAGCATTTCAGGCTGGAGAAGTTCTGTTTGCTCTCTTTCCCAAGCTTCATGCTGTCCACGAAGTGGCACATCGCATGCGCCATCAATCCAGAAGGAGTCCATACACGTGGAATCCAGCGGCAACGTCGTGTTCCATGGACGAAGATTTCATAGGGCGATACGCAACGTTAAGTCGTTGCGTATCGCCCAAACAGATTGCCAAAAGAACGCTCCAGCGGTATCTTTGCCAGATCCAAATCAGCTGGGCCAGAGCTTGAAGGGGAAAAGTTATAGAGTGAGAAGACGGAGAATGGACTCGGGAAGGGGGTGCTGGTGGTCTGGGTTTTCATGTGCTTTGGTATTTTGGTCAATGGGATTGGACTTTTGGGGGGCGGCCATCAAGGACCAGCTTCTTGCTATACTGCCTATACATTATGTTTTCTGGGGTGTGCAGAACACTCAAATATAGGCATTTTTCTATAGCAAGAAAGGCTAAGGTTCATGGACGTGAATAACCGTGCACCCTTCAAAATGGACGTGAACTGTCGTGAGTGGACGTGAATTTCATCAAAACCCATGAAAAGACATCAATTAGCACCATGGACAACAATAGGTGTCCACAGGGTGCCGCAGGTACTAGGATCTGGGATCTCCAGACAAAACACCCAGATGGGATGGTCCAGGTAGTTAAATCATGTTCAATTTCAGGTCATTTTTGAGGGACCTCCATCAAGCCTGGGAGGGATGTTGAACATCACGAGATAACATGAGTTAGCAGCAGGGACGGTAGGAAATTCAGGGAATCGGTTTGGCAGGGCCTGTGACCGACTTCCTGAAAAACGACAGGACATCTTAGGTTAAAACATGTTGAAACCGTTGGAATCAAGGACCTGCTGCTGCATAGAAGGGTCTTTGAACCTCAACGGGCTCGGGGCCGCCAAAGCTGGACCAACCAGCTGGAGATGTTCCGCAACCAGCAACGATCGCACTCCTCTGGTCCAGTCCTCTCTGCCGGACACGGGGCGAAGAGCTCGTCAACGTGGACGAACGCTGTTAGAAACTCATAGCACCTCCTCTCTTTTGTTGGGTGAGTATTCTGGGCGAAACCTCCGCGCGCGAGTTTACTCGCTCCACGGGGAGGCGGTCCCCGTCGCCCCAGCTCCGACCGAGGTTCTCGGCGATCCTGACGTTGGCCGTCCGGTTCTCAGCTCAATCGATCAGGGTTTCGAGTCCCAAGTGGTCAAGAAAGTGGTCACACGTGGACTTCGTGGACTGGGTGTTTGCAAGTGGTATTTTTCAAGCTGGTGGAAGGTTCTACTTTTCAAGGATTTGGAGAGGACCGACGTTGCTTCGATGACCATGACCGTTCGCATCCTCTATGACCGGGGCCTTGAATCTGCCAGCCGCGCAGACTCCACTTCAATGAGTGATGGGCCATGGGAGCCCGGTCCATGGTCAATTGAACGCCTTGATAAACCAATTTATGAGTTTGGGAAACTGGTAGACTCTTCCACTTTGGAGGAGTTTGACTGCTGACCATCGACTGTGGGGCAAGAGTGACTTCCTTTTTTGTTTTCGAGGCAGAATTTGTGGGCCACCGTTTTCATCCATGTTCCACCTCGACCCGTTCAGAGGTACGACTGGACCCCTAGGGCTTTACAATCCAACAGTAACTGCGGGGGTTATTGATCTATGCATTCAGTCGTGCCTGTGAAGATCTGGTGTAAAGACCCTCTTGAGATCTGGCGTCAAACTCGACCGTCCGCGGCGCACCGCCGCGCTGACCGTGCCAGGTGATCTTTCAATGTTTGGGCTTTGCGCTGCTGGCGGTGCAAGTCCTCCTTACCGCAGGGGGCCCCCAGTCCAAACGCGGCAGACGAACGTGAACAAGACCTGGTCGAAGCATCACCCGGTCGAAGCACCTGTCGTCACGGGTCTCCGAACGGCCGAACCTTGGAGGGTCGTATGGAGAGACGGATCCGGAAAGACGAGGATGACTATGGGAGGTTTATATGGCCTGGTGATGACTAGTCTCCTCTACCAACAGGTGGTTTTCCATGTGTTTCTTTTTCCACTTCCATGTTAGTGAGTCTGAGTACAGCCTTTGTTCTTCAGGTCGTGGGTGAACTGGAGCCCATGTGCAGAAGGGTCTGCAACAAAACCAAACGGCGGTCTTTGGGAAAAAACGAAGAACCCATGGATACGCTGATGGCGCCTTTTCTCCTCATTTGCAAGTGAAGCACTGACATGGCAAGCCGGAGTTTTGGAGTAGTCCTGCTTTCGCACCTTGAAGGGTTGGTTTCCTTCCCCCTGCCTCGTCGTGCCCGGGGGGGGTTTGCGAGCTCGCTCGCTTGAGTGGTGTCGTCGCTCCAGGGCAGCGTCGCTGGCATCTCTGCCCGCGCATTGGCGTTGGACGTGGGGGTCTTCCAGTGAGATGGGGGGTGAACATGGTGAGTTTGGACGGCCTGAAACTGGTCCCAATAGTGTTGGAGCGTTTTGACAGCCATAAGGAATCCTGCCTCTCTCACTGGGATGAGGATGGATTTTGGCTTTTGCTGTAAATGAGTTTGGGTTTTGGTTTGTTTTGAATTGATATGTTTTGATGGGTGTTGTTCGTATTGTGGATGTTGATTTTAGATGGAAGGTATGGGAAGCAGACGCTCCAAGGAAGACAGGAAGTGTAGGAGCCGGCGACGACACCGTACAACGTTGCAATAAACCATCAAAGACCTACACCACTCAAAACTGCTCTGTGTACTCGGCCATTGCACGCTTGCAGTTGTCCTTCGTTTTCAGTGTGAAAAATAGCAGGAGGTGTCGTCGACATCGCCCAGAAAAGTGGTGAACCTTAAACGCCTTAAACATGTTGATTGGTTTCCCCAGATGGAAAAGGATGTATAAAGGTCAATGAACTAATTGCAATTCTCCAGGGGCACTCTTCAGTTGTCACTCCTGGAGCCGGAGGTCAAACTCCCCTTGCTTTGGAGGAGCAAAAAGGAGATCAATATGGGTGAAACAGGTGGCTTCTTGGTTGATGTCTCTACCCAAGCGAAGTCAACTGAGCCTCCCCAGTGTTTGACCCGGCCACGGCCACGTCATCCACCTTCCTTTGGCTTCCACTCAACAGGAGGCATCGTGGACGACGCCCCGAAACCGCCTCTGCCCGCCCGCGCCAACGCCCCAGGCGTGGTCGCTGTGCTTCCGCCTCTCCTCGACGCCCGGGGACCAAACGTGGGGGCGAAGGTGAAATGGGGGGTGCAACGGCCAGTTTGGGGCAAAGAAGGAGACGACCGGTTGGGTTTCTGGAAGAAGTTTCGGGTCTTTTGAGAGGTTTGGAGTCCAGTGTTTGGAAGGTGCTTTGTGAAGCCCCCAAGGCTTTGGCTGCATGGCTACCTGCCAGTGGATGCATCTGGAGACTTCGTCTTCCAGGCCGCGGTGGAATTTGCGTCCAGTTTGACGTGTCGAGAAAATGGAGGAGAGTGGGAGTGTTTGGTGGGCCAGGAGCGTTGATCTGCAGGGCTATGCTTGGAACATTTTGGAGGTGCTTCACTTTATTCTAGGATTCTGGGCCTTCAAAGAAGCGTAGCTTTTAAGTGCAAACAGCTTGACATGGCATGTGCCGGCACTTGTGCGCTTCAGTGAGCCTGCGACGATGTTTGGTGGACATTGGACAGGGTCAATTGTTGTTCTTTCCTTTGGGTTAGCAGTTGAAAGGTGAAACACGCATAAACCGTAATCCCATCTAAAGTGCTAGAAAAAAACACATGCAACAGTTCCATGCATTTGTTGTTTCATGTTGTTTCTGATTCTACCGTCTGAGACGGTCCTCTTTTCGGAGTATTTCAACGTTCATTGCGCCCCATGGAAGCACCGCGGAGGCCGTGGACGTGGTCTCCCTGGTCTTGGTCTTTTGGCTTCTGCCACTCGGCACTGTCTGTGTTGGACCAGCGTCCGGATGTCGCTGAGCCGATCAGTTGACCTGTTGTAGTCTGACATCAAAGACCTAAACCCAATGATTCTTCGGTCAAACCATGTCAAACCCATTTTAGTATACCCATCATTATAGCATACATTATATATATAACATTCATATTGAGCCAAGGGTGGTGGGCCACGAATCCTCGGACCTTTGCAGAGTCCTGGACTCGCCGATCCGATCCTGTTCCGATGTCGACATCGTGGCTTCCACCATCGCTCTTCCGAAGCGAAAACCCGGAGTGGAAGACGCCGGTGTGACCGGGGCCCGGTGTCGACGATGTCCCGATGTCCCGTGGAGAAGAAGACGATCCGAAACGCCATCGGTTGGAACACGGACCTCCCGAGCCGAGAAGAAACGACGACGACGACCCGGTCCGACTGGCGAAGATGACACCGTCCAACGTCGACGACCAGTCACAAAGAATGGGGAGATGATGGCAGACGGGCAGATGGGAATTGGGATGAACATACTTGTACCAGAAGCGTCCGTGATGCAAGTCTTGAAAAGGAACAGCCAGGTCAGCAGATGTAATTGGAACCTTCCAGGGCAAAAGGTCCACGGCAGCTCTTGCAGCTTCCTGGTCAAGGCAGCTCTCTGGCGGGTGAAGAGATAGGTCTCATGGATCTATCTGAAGGTTTCTGGCAAGACTTTGATTCTTTGCAACCGTACCATGCTGAAATTCATTGAAGTTCCATTCTGTTGGGAGCCATGCAACTGCCATTTGTGTTTGTTTACACACACACACATATATATATATATATAATATACATCCAGAAAATCAGTGGCTTGCTTTTTTTTTTTTTGTGTGTGTGTGCAGTTGCACGAAGCACCAAGGCATTCCTTGCTTTTTGAGAAGAGAAGCACCTACCAGGAGGAGCAGGAGAAGCGTCGAGCGAATGGTTTCGAGTGTCACTGGCGAAGCTCGTCACCTGTGCGGATAGACGGATGGACGGCGCCCTTTTTGAACCCCAGTATTCGCTTGAACTCCATTTTTCCGAGCTGTCGGTGAGCTTCCAGAGCTTTGATAGATTTGACACACAGACCATGATCTTTTTTCCCGACATGTGCCTGACAGGACAACTTTCCAGCCACTCCAGTGGTGCCTCTGACCTGTTTGATGACTTGTAGCATCGGTGTCTGCTTCCAATTAGCAAGCTTACTCCTAGCCTTCCGTTCGACCCCTTAAAATGGTTGACCTGGTGTTTTAGTGGAAAATCCTAAGTATAAACCCTGCTGTTGGTTCGGGATGACCTGGCTATGAAATCAAGGTTTGGCCAGGAATATTAGGGGTATACCTCCAGCATCCTGTCTTTTGTGTATCTGACATATCTGAACATCCTGTTAGATCAGTATTGCACACAGGGACTGTGGACTGCTTCCTACCCAGCCAGGCTTCCTACCACCTTCCTTTTTTCTTGCATTGGGTTTCCCCACTAGAAACGAACAGGCTCAAAAAGGGTTCACCTCTATTTTAGCCAGTCTTACCTTGGGAAAACGCTGGACTAACAGATTCGTGGCATCTACGCAATCTGTTGTGACCTCACTTGGAGGGTTTCTGTAATGTGTCATGTGGACACTCGGCAGGGAACCATAAACACGGTGCAATAAATCCTGGACATGCACCGCTGGCCCAGTTTTCAGTGGTCAAACACGTGTTTGATCTGCCTGTCCGTGCCAAGGTGGGGTTTGTATGAATCTGAGATGGTCGTCTCCAGGATGAGCTTTCTCCTTCCCTCCCCACCCAAGAAAAGTGGATTAACCTTAAACCTTTTTGGGACAATACTTTCCCACTATACCTTGCTTTGCCAGCCAAAGTGGATCAGTCTCCAAAGTGGATCAGCCATTCCCTCCATTTGACGTCTCCTCCGTCGCACTGAAGTCCTATCCAAATCCGTTCGTTCGGGTGGAGGTGAAGGATTCAGTTGTGACGTGGTGACGGTGACGGTGAACGTTTGCGATGAGTTGATGATATCGCCAGCGCGTTCCCGGCGTTCCCACCACTTGGATGGTGTTTTTTTGGAAGATTCTTTTCCAAGCAGAGTCGTCAGCCCAGGGTGGGCCGTGCTGGACTGGCGTGGAGCGTGCCAGGTTCTGGCATGCCTGATCCTTGCGAGTCTCTTTCACGCAGCCGGGATCTCAGCACCCTGCATGATTGGAAGTCTGGGAAGAGCATAGCCAGATGATGGCAGAGTGACTCGCAGCCCGGTGTGGCCGCGGCGGAGTGGCCGCTGTTCGTGCGCCGCGGTTCGTACCTCGTGCGCACGCGAGTTTAGAGACGTCAGAAACAGCTCAGAAACTGCGTCCATCACGTCGTGCCCCTCCTTTGGCTTCAAAAAGGGCCGTGGTCACCGCCTGCAGGCACTGTGAATCCCCGAAACCAGCTCTTCTGCCTCTTTACATGCTTTAGACTCTAAAAGGTCTCGAGGAAAGGGGCTGTTGTCGTCCACAAGCAATTTGCCCTTAAGTCTCATCATGTCATCATTCGAGGATTCGTTTTGCAGGTGTTCAATCATTGAAGCAACGATATTCTTCATTAGAGGTGTGCACTTTACTTCTTACTCCAAACATCAAGCGATCCCTGTCTGTTAAAGTCTTCATCCACAGCCATCTCAATTTTGTGGGTCGTCTTGATTGAATGCGTGTAATGGGAATGATCTACAGCAAAGAGAAACCAATAAGGAAGCTCTGCCCAAGAATCTCAACACATCGTCAAAACTATGTTGGGATCGTTTCTACGCCAAGTATCATGACACTCTGGCTTATCACAAACACATACAAACACTACAAATCATGGACAATCACATCAAATACCGTTGTTTCTTGAAAGTTAAAGAGCTCATGCGGGTGTAGTTTAGCATGGAGAACCCCTGGCCCTGCTCGATGCTGCGAACCGAAGTCGAAGGGCCGAAGGGGATCGTCATCACTAGGGGGTCGGTCTCCCTATAGGTTGAAGACCCGGCTTCCGTCCTTCCTTCCGTCGTCATCATCGGTCTCTCCGTCGGTCTCCCGGCTTCCGTCGGTCTCTTCCGTCGGTCTTCCGTCGGTCTTTCCTTCCTTCCTTTGGATTGGAGGGATCTGCCGGAGGTGTTCCTTTGATCTTCGCTTTTCGCAGGACATGAATGCACGGCCCGCCTTCGACACCTTATGGATGGCAGGCACCGGCACGCGTGGGCACGAGCGGCAGGGCGGGTTCGGGTTCGTGTGCCCAAAAGCCTGGAATCCTCCAGCGTTTCAAGTCATGTGGACCCCAAATACATCCTTGGAATCCTTGGAACATCAAAAACTGATCTCTTATGATCTCTTCAGACACTCTGGTTCTTAATTCATCCGTGCTCACAGTTATTTACCCTCGGCTGCTTCACACATTGCCGAATCCTGACGCATGGATGCAGTAGAATGCACGAAACCCGTCTTTTTCAGTTTTTCTTCACAATGTAGACTTGAGAATGAATTTACACTACGTACCAAAATGGTCTTTTCATCTCCAGGCTGTTCTTTTTAAAATCATTAATCAGTCCACAGTCTACATTATGAGCCTGCATGAAGCAGCTGTAGGGATTTGGAGACCGTGCAGTTTCTCTCATCCGATTCTGGTGGAGTGTCCTGAGAATGGAATCAAGTTCCACCGTTCCACCACTCTTTTTTCCCAACTTGTTGCTATTGCGGGTGGGATTCATGATTTCCCCAAGATTGTCCAGATAGATTTCATGGTTGGCCACCACCTGTTTGGTTTATGGCCACACGGTCATCCTTTCCTTTCAGGGCCATGCATAGCCATCATGCCATCCACTTCCACCATGATGATTTCAGGGACCCAGATGCGACCCTGGACCCTCCAACTGCTACATGTTGGTTCGGTCCAAAACCCCAACACCCAGACGATGAGGATCCAATGAGCCTTTGGGTTGATGGGATTTGGGGGTGCCCCAACAGTGGCCTTTCGTCAGATGACTTGCCGACTGACTTAAGTAGTGGAGGAAATTGGTTGTCTGATGACATCGTTGAGTCAACTGGGCACATCTCTTGGTGACCAGCACGGTGAGATTCCTAAAGAATCGTTTTGTGTTTCTTCAACCACCCAAAGCCTATGGTCAACTGATGGTGGCTTGGCGATATGGCTGTGGGTCATGGCACCTGCAGCTTCCATCCCTGGTAGGTGGACGTCTCGTAGTCGATTCTGTTCATTTTCGGTGGGGAAAAGCCAGAGGTCCCCGGTGCCATGACCTACAACCATATCCCCTGGGAGTTCAGTCGACTCTAAAAAGAATGGTCTGACTGACGAACGGGGACCTGAGTATACAGTCAGGTCCTGAACACTTCAGACAGTCAAAATATCGTCTCACTGGACTTCTAGGGTATACGTGTATGATAATATATATATACACATACCAGCACCCTCCAACAGGTCACCAATTGAAACCTGTTAGGGCCTTTCCCAACCCTCCATTTCGGAGACCTGTTGGGTTCGGTGCTGGTACATATATGGTCCACCTTACCCAAAAGGTACGTGGCACCGGTCCGGTGTTGGTCTCCTGAACCATTCCGCCTCCGGGCACCCCGTCTTCACTCACGGCGGCATCCTTCGGGTTGCAGGAGTCGGAGCCGGTTTCGGGTGTGGGTCATGGCACCGCATGGCTCTGACCTCCCTGTTTGGTGGACCTCCCAGGTCATCCGTTCTGATTCATGTGAGCTCCAAGGTTGGTCGGTCTGGTGGAATTTCCACATGTGGAACATGTTGCCGACAGGATAAGGGGACCGATCCAAGTCCGGGTTTCAGGCCTCTTTATCAGCGCTGTGGCGGTTCTACCGCAGGCGCTGGTTGGGAGGGATGGTCTTTTTAAGCGCTGAACTTGTTAAATTCTATCAATTTCTAAAACATGATCCCTTGGCTTCCCATCCCATCATTGATTTATAATGATTTATGTAATAGGCGAGTCATCCCGAACAACCATGGCTTTACTAAGGGTCTTACACTACCAAACCAGGTCAAGCTTTCTTTTAATGGTCTTGGAAAGCTAGGGCTAGGGTGATGTCTACGTAGGTCCAGAAGCTACCCGGGCCCTGTGAATCTGGCTTGGAAGACACGAGAAGTCTGGCCGAGAAGGCGTGGAAGGCGTTTGGGGGAAGGTGCTTCCCCCTATTAGACACAAGTCATCTGATTGGTTGGCCAGATAGATGGATCAAGATGGGACTTGACCGTTTTTTTGCAACCGGACCCAGACCTTCAACGAGGACCCTTTGAATGTACGATAATATGTACGCATACTCGAGAAATACATTCACAAGAAACATGCTGATCCTGACATGAGAAGTGGACTCAGCGATACTCAGGGTATGCAGGGCTACACTGCCTAGGTTCTCTGAATTGAGGGTGTAGAACTTTGGGTCACCCAAATACAGGACATAGAAAAGAATGATTGCTCAGCTTAGTCAAACTTCCATGGCCTAGCCAAACATGTTTGGCCGCTTGGTTTCAAAGCACGTGGCCCTTGTCCAAACTCAAGAGTGTCGCGACTATTTATATACATCTTCAAAGCTCCTGTACATGGCGGAACAGGTCACACATAGCAACGCAGTATGGTACAGTTCTTTGATACATCGAGGTAACTAGGGCCATCTGATGCGGTTCTTGAAGCGTTCGACGGTGCACTGCGACGACATCACATGCGAAATGGATAATTCCGCTTCTCCACCAAACATGGTCTTACAAATCATGGTGGCAGCGGAGGGCCGTTCACCACCATCGTCACCACCAGGCCATTTGCTCATGTGATGTGTTCGTCAGGCCGGGGTATGTTTCTTCTCGATGTGTCGTAATGATCTTTCTACCTGGAACCCATTTGACCTCTGTTTTTGATAGTTTGGATTATTTTGGATTTTTTTGGGTGGTTGGTGGTCCAAAAAAGAGGTCATGACCAGGTTCTAGGTATCTCTTTCTTCTCCGCGATCCATCAGTCACGGCCCTGCGATCCGTCGTGAAGCGATACGGCAGTTGTGGCTGATCTTCAAGACCGGTGGGAAGGTCGAGCGGGGCCGCCCAGTCGGACGCGGCCTGTCGCGACGCGGCCGGCAAACAGTCGCGGCGAACAGGCCTCTTTTTCGGCCCCGAGCCTCCAAAAGACTGTCCCTGCCCCCAGTTCCCTGCCCCCTACTCGCCAGTGGGTGTTTTCTTTGCTTCCGAAAGCTCACCACTTCGGACCGGTCGGTCCAGAACAGAGAAGTACGGTGGGGTGGGAAGACGCCGGCGCCGTACGGTTGATGGACCACTGCTTGGGAGGATCAACTTGGATCAACGGACTCTTCTAGCATGACCAAGCTGTCACTTAAGGGAGGTCAAATGGACTCTCTCTCTCTCCCTCTCTATGCAGATCAAGGCTGGATTGGTTCGGACATTCCACGAGAGTCTGTGAATCACACACCGAGACGTCCCACCACCGAGACGAGCCTTCCGAGTCACTTCCGTAGATGTCTCCGCGCCGAACTCTCCGAATTTCATGCAGTGCAGTCGAACACACGAACGCCGCGGCCGAACTGGGCCGTTGCGAACGGTGCGGCGAACGCTGCGAACGCTGCTGAGGCCTCTGACTAGCCACTACATCGCAGCGATGGCACTCGCTCGAGCACTGAGTGGTGCCTGGGAGGAACAGAACTCAAATGGCGCCGGGGAACTGGCACGGCACTTGGCTACCGACCCTTGTTGACCTTACGTCGGTCTATCACGACCGCTACATGGTGGACTGGTTTGCTCCAGGTACGTCACGACCACAAGACCCCCCACTTGGTCGCTCACGACCGCGACGGTCCACCTCGATTCCTCGATCCGCGTTGGTCATGAGATCAACGCACTGAGTCAACCATCGCACTGACCACTCATGGGGACCCTGCAGAAACGCAAGGTTACGCGAACGCGTCTCTCCATAGGGAGAACACCACATCTATCAGCAGCCATGGGTCGGTCGGTCCCACCCTGGTTGGTTCTGCACGGAAAGAGGTTCCGAAACGAGTGGGTCCGCCAGAGATTTGGTTCACCTGAAACATCCTTAAACCTTTGGGTGTCCTCATACGGCAGAAGCTCAGGAGGCGGGTGGTTACTGGTGGCTCCTTCAAGTCAGGCCCCACCCAACCGGACCCTCTCCAAGGATCAAAGGTGGAGAGAAAAAACCATCCTTGGGTTCCATCCAAAAGAGACAAAAACGCGCCATGGATCTCGATGAGATTCCTTAAAGACCGACTATAGAAGTGAGCAATACCGACATACCTCTCCAAAGCCACATCTACCAGCACCTCCAACAGGTCACCAATTGAAACCTCTTAGGGGCCTAACAGCCTTCCATTTCGGAGACCTGTTGGGTTCGGTGCTGGTATACATTTAAAAAAACAACATATACCATTGTGAGTCTAAATGTGAGCCACAAGGCCGTTTAAGTGATTTATTTTTTTAATGATTTTTTTTATGTTTTTTTTTTAATGATTTCACTATGTTTTGATTTATGTTTTTGTTTTTTGGCAGTTTTGTTATATGATTTTTTTTAATGATTTTTTTATGTTTTTTTTTTAAATGTTTTCATTTATGTTTTCATTTATGTTTTTTATGTTTCTTAATAAAGTACACTGTTTTTCATCAAATTTCCTTGATGCTTAAATGTCATTGCCTCTTCAGGGTTTCTGTTTCTGTCCTATTGTTCTTGTGTTGAAAAAATTGGTTTGTAAAGTATTGGTTTCCAGCCAAGTATATAAATGAAATAACTCACTCTGCAAAAGAAACTATGCAAACCCTCTCCCAGCAGTCAAAATTTGCCTGCAATCCGAATACAGGCCCTGGATATATGTCAATCACGCTAACCTAGCGCGCTTTGCGTCCTATGTGAATGGTGTGGGTACGACCGGTAAAGCTTGAGGCAAGGCTCGGGCTTTAGGCTCTAGCAACGCAAACCAAGGCACTTTTGACTGCGTCGTAAAAAGCCAGACTTCTGCCTAGACGTAGAAATGACCGCTCCCAGTAAAACCAGCAGGCAGGCACTCAAACCAACAAACAAGGCACTGACCATGACCAGGAACACGACTAAGCTTCTCTCTGCCGCGCGTGCACACATGGCAAAATTCATAACATGAAAGGCCCCTTCCTCAGCGTCACAGGGCCGGCCACAGGCCGGGCAGACTTGGCGTTTGCTGCCCTGGCCAGCTCTAGGTGACCTCCCACCAGCCTCTACACTTTGGACGCGGCAGCTCTCGAGGGGCCACTGCGCAACCTACAGACCTCGCCGCTACCTTCCCAGCCACCGCGCCGCGTCCTACCCACACCTGCGGAGACGCGCCGCGCGGAATCATAAAAAAAACATAAGAAAATCATAAATGGAAACATATTGAAAACATAAAAAAACATAAAAAAATCATAAAATTTTTGAAAATGTGCCTGGTTCGGAGATTTTTATTTTTTTATGATTTTTTTTAATGTTTTTTTAATGATTTTTTTATGATTTTTTTTATGATTTTTTTATGATTTTTTTTATGTTTTTTTTTATGATTCCGCGCGGCGCGCCTCCGCGGCTGGGGTAGGACGCAGCGCGGTGGCTGGGAAGGCGGCGGCTAGGTCTGCAGGTTGCGCAGTGGCCCCTGGAGAGCTGGCGCGTCCGAAGTCCCAGGCAGGTGGGAGGTCACCTAGAGCTAGCCAGGGGAGCAAACGCTAAGTCCTGTTCCTTTCCTTCCCTGTGGCCCTGAGTACGGCACAGCCTTCACAGGCTTGAGGGAATCAGCATAAACTGAAACCTTCTTACTTAAAGGCCTAAAGGCGTCAAACACTTTAAACCTTGCGCACTGCTAGGTTTTTTGCACCGTGTCTCCAGCATAGAACTTGCCATTGATATTCCCTTGCTTCTATTTGCTAAATGCCTGGTGGCTTATACCAACGTAGCTGCAAGTAACGCCGCGAAACCTTGCCCTTGGCCCAAGGCCACGTGACACTTTGCACGTCTGAGATTTAGAATCCTATCAGTTCAGTCGTTAATTGTTAGCGTCTCCGTTTTTTCAATCTTTGGCCCTCGCGAGTCCTGAGCTACACTAGCCCTTATCAATCACATCACGGACATGAAACTTTGCAGGCCTTCTACATACTTGATATTTATTTGGCTCGCAAACCAAGAACCTTGAACGGACCTTCAACCACAGGCCAAAAACGATTGGTGAATTTGCCAAAAGATAGCAAGAAAAACACAAACGCTAAAGGGAAGACATGAAAAAGGCACTTCAACAAAACATATTAAAAACATAAAATAAAACATAAAAGAGAACAAAAAAATCATAAAAATATCATAAACCAAAAAACACCACTTTGTAAAAACATAAATAGAAACATATTGAAAACATAAAAAAATCATAAAAAAAATAAATTTTTAAACCAGTCCTCTTGGCTACATCTAAACTCACAAATATACCAGCACCTTCCAACAGGTCTCCGAAATGGAGGCTTTTGTAGACTTAAAAGTCGCAGGTGGTGACCTGTTGGAAGGTCCGGGTAGATTCATATCTCTGAGAAGGCGGGACTTGGGTCAAAGCGGAAGTCAAGGGCGACGCCGTCCGACCGGCACGGTCGGTCGGTTGACGTCCCGCTCCGGCGCGGTCGGTCGGTGCGCGGGGGGGGGGGTGTTTCCCCGGGCGACGTGCTGAGACGGCGTTCATGGACCTTCGGTGTTTTGGGGTGTCTTTCGGATGATGGCCGACCCAGAACAAGCCATGGTGAATCGGTGGCAGATCACTGACCGGCAGGCCGAACAGTGGAGCTGAAGAGTTGGAGATCAGCTGAATGAAAGGAGCACCACAAGTTTAGGTACGTTTTTACTGATGCCAATCTGCTTGTGTTTCCCTATATATGAAACATATAAAACATCCGCTTCTGCATTTGAGGTGCTTCCTGGATTCCGCCAGTCTCAATCAGAAACAAATGGCTGTTCCAATCTGTCACCAGGGGGTTGGGTGGGTGTGGAGTTCCCACCATCCATGGTGGAGATACGAGGAACAAGCTTCGCTCGCTACGTCACCGGGGCTCCGGCATCGCGACGCCACGCCCCGGACCAGTGCGGTCGACGGGGGGCGCCACGCCATCACACGAGGCATCTTCATGTGGCACGCCCGCTTCGACATCACCTGCGAGCCATGGGTGGAAGGCTACAACCATGCCATTTGGGTTGGGAGGCTCAAGGGTTGCAGAGAAGGAAACAGTTCTCCTTATCCAGGACAGCTTTGTCAGTTTGGATGTTTGACTGGGAGCACTGTGGAGGGTGGACTGATCAACATGGCATCATTCGCACCACCTTATCAGGCGCCTCAGGGCCTCAGGATGCAGACCTGCAAAGCATGTTTGGGGGATTGGGGATGCTTGTCATGATCCTTTGCCCACACACCGCGCAAGCTGGATAGCTACAAGCACAGCTACATGCGGCATGGGGTGACGTACGTTGTAGGGCTACTTTGTGCTCACACACAGCGGACACCCCACAGGCACTGTCGAACAGGGTGGAAGCTCCGGTGAACAAACGGCTCAGGGGTCAGACACGACACTCCCAAGTCAACGAACAGCTCGACCCTGACGTCCCCCCCTGGAAGAGTGTTTTCCTCTACCAACCAGTTGTTTTCAGGGTCCATGTTACAATGTTGGTGTACTAGGAACAAGCTTCGCTACGTCACCGGGCCTGGCATCGCGTGAAGTGAACGATCGGACGCGTTCGTCAACTGGACTCCTGAGATGCGATCGACGGGGATCGCCTCCGAGGTCATTCTTGGTGCGCATGCGGTGCACTTGGCCTTCCAGCCTGCAAGCAGTGCATTTGGAGCGTCTGCAGGTTCTCCACCACCCCCAATGTGTAGCTCAAAAGAGGGAGACCGGCAGAAAGGAAAATAGACACCCGTTGGGATTGGGGTCTCCCTATTAAAACACATAATAACTACTTCAGGAGAAACAACACATTGAAGCCAATAGGCACATGTGCCACGTTTTAGGGTGGATTCCGAGATGGCCGAGGGGCTGGCTTCAAAAAACACAGCTCTGTTCGGTCTGTGTGGTTCCGAGAACCCGATGGAGTTCATGGGAACTTCTTTTTGACGTGTGCAGAAATTGGCTGCGGTGACGTGGGAGCCAGAGGGGCGAAGTTCGGAGCTGAGGAGCACGAGTCAATCGCTCTTGGGCGGAAGAAGCTGGACGAATTCGAGTGGAAGAATCGAGTGAGGAAGCTACCCTGGATCTGTTTCAAGCACTGGTTTAGTTGTCGTCTTCTTGTTGAGAAGTGTTTTCGTCTTCTTGTTTAGTTTTAGTTGTAGTTTCTACAGTGTTTTAGTTTTAGCTTCAAAGGTTGTGTCATTTCTTTGGAGACTTTTGGACTTCCACAAGAAGCAAACGTTCAGTACTCCCCTAAACGCCATTGATTTCCCAACCTGTTTGACACTGAGGCGGTCTCCCAACGCTGGTGGAAGGGGAAGCACCCCAATCTTTCAAAACCATCGACACCAGACCAGACGATGGCCCTCCTAAGGCCCTCCTGATCGACTTCGGATATTACTACCTCAAGTGACCTGGCAGACGATTTGGAAACAACCTACACTGCCCCCGAGTTCGGACAACCATGTTCCAAATACCAAGCAGGTGGTGAACTCCACTTTTTTCTCAGGGAGTGTAGTGTAGTGTAGGCCTTTTTTTTGTTTTTCTCTCGGTGCGAACTGAGCACATGATTATATGATCCTTATATATATATATACCCTAAGAATCCTTGGGCTGTCCATGGCAGGGGTCGGACCCTCCATAGCAGGGGTCCGGGGCCTCAAAACCCTATTTGTTTGAGGGCCCGGATTCTTAGGGTATGAAATATACAATATATACACATGCATATATGGTCCACCTTACCCAAAAGTACGTGGCACCGGAGTTGTGTTTGCATGAATCCCCGCACGGGAGCCGGTGAAACAAGCTGGAATCGCGGATTTGTGCAGTGGTGGCTTGGAAGTAGCTGAAGAAGATCCAGACAGGTACAACTTTGGATAAGGCGTTGTCTTTTTAAGATTTGCCCAGACGCTCATGGACCCTCCTAAGTAGGGGTCCGGACCCTCAAATCCCTAGGGTTTTGAGGGACCAGTCGAGCTGTGAACGGAGCGTCTGGGTGGATGGCTTTTGATGACTTCCGCCTCGGAGCTGAACCCAGCGACGTGCCGTTCCTTTCGCAGTAACCAGCGGATCAAAAGACGCCGACCTTGTGGGCCGACAACATGTGGAAGTTCGGAAGTTCCATGTGGAAGTTCGGACTTACCACATGAGAACATGTTCCATGTCAGTGAAGACCGGAAAACTATAGTGAAGACTACAGATTCGCCAGATTCGTCCGATTCGCCCGAAGAGGGTGGTGAGGTGGGTCAGAAATGAGGGATCCAACGCTCCAACGGTGCACAGAAGAGCCACGAGCCACGCCGCAGATTCGGCGACCCCACGCACCCAGATACGCTCGATGCAGCCGAGGGCAGTGATGAAGAAGGGCTTGGGAAGCCAATTGGAGCTGATTCAGGCGTCCAGATGGTCTGTTCAGACACCAGGGTGGGTCCAGATCGGAGTCTGACGCCTTAGTGAGTGTGGTGAGTCTCGCCGATGCGGATGGGAAGAACCCCATGAGATGCCGCTCCAACACTGACACGTACGGTACAGATATCACATGATATAATCGCTATCTTTGGGGTATTTGGGCAAAGGGGTCACCAAGAATACGTCGTCCAATGAGACTTCATTTGGATAGGGTGGGTGGATCTCCAGTCACTGGTTTTAGAAGAATCCACTCGAACTAACTGATTCGCCTATATAGTTATCCAATGTCACTTCCGATAGCTGGAGTACAGGCACTGCCTCACAAGTGTCCTTGCAGGTGATGAAATGACACCAATTCCTGCGCTTATTGCACTTTGCAGGGATTTGTCATGCTGGTGATGTTTTGGCTGGTTCTCAGTTCTTGGTGCTTTTGGGAGTCCCTCAATACATGACTGGGATATTTCGTCTTAGGAGCCTTACAGAACTCTCATAACTGGACCATTCCACGGAGCTCCTTAGAGCGAGCCCTTTGAAAAAACAGACGCCCATAAAGGAGAGACACCGAATCGATGCACAAAAAGGACACCAAATCTGCCAAATCTAAACCAAACCCAGCCTGAAACAAACCCTCAGTCTTCGTATACGTTGTGGCCTTTTGGTTGGCCGACTCAGATACCAGGGCAACAGGGAATGACCAAAGGCTTGGGAACCCCTTTTGGCCCAGTTTGCACCCTATATAATTATAAGACATTGACTGAACATGTTTCCCAGCGACAGTGTCTGGGAGTTTGACAGTGTCTTGGAGATTGAGGAGATGTCGTGCCAACTGTCCCCTCTGGCAAACACATGAAACTCCAGCCCCGCCTCGGCCAGGACTACGTTTGAGAGGATGGCGTGCGTGGGCACAGCATGGGCCCCAAATGCGAACGCAATTGGTTGGGCCCATGCGGCGGCTTGGCAGCTTCTTCCGCCATGAGGCGGCAGGTGACTTGGCTGCCGACCTCGAAGACCTCGACGAGGTTGGAAGAAGATGGTCGGTCCATGCGGTCCCCCCCCCTTGGAGAACGACTCTCCGACTCGCCAATGTAGACTCTTGAAGACCATAACCCCCCCAAATTGAATTGGACATCCTCTTCATATGGGGGATTTATTAATCAAGAGTCTACATTAGGGTTGTGCTGCACACTCTCATTTTTCCCCAAACAGTGTGGGCACACTGAGGGGTTCTTACGGTAGTAGAAAAGCAGGTGTGCTTAGATCGCTGTTCCGCACGGGCGTGTCCGGCCAATTCGCTGCTATTTACAGTACATTCATGCCTCTCGACATCGTTCATGTGCACTTCGACTGCGCAGGCTCGCTGAATCTGGGTGTCTGCGGCGGGTGCTTCTAACGACTGCGCTCTCGTTGTGGTGCCGTGTACATTTTCGTACATGATGGTGACTTTTCGTGGCAGGCGCAAGGGGAAACAATGTCCCTCCATTTCGGTATTTGTGTTATACCAGGCGGGCATTGTTTCCCAACCCAATCTGGTAAGAGAAAAGTTGTCTGCTGGAGAGGGGTTCCCGTGGAAATCGGGTACGACCCTGTATCATAAACCGCTGTTCGGGTAAAAGCGTCGTGATTCCTATCTTGAGCCAAAATTTGATTGCATGATTGTGAGCAGTGTTGATGTTTGTACATCTTACGCAGCGTCATTGATGGTCAAATTGAGACATGAATCATGATTCATTTTATCTACCGGTACATATGACAGGGTTCATTAAATTAACAACATGTGTTTTCATGTTTTATTCAATTTTTCAAGCAGTTCCCGGGCAAGCCGGCGGCGGAAGTTTCCTATAAGAACAAATTGACCTATAGGAGTGTCCACGTTCTCTCCAACATGCGCGTCCTCCAGTCAAACGCACGCGCTCCGGACTTTTGACCCACGGGATTCCACGTGTGTAAGGTGTGTGCCCGCTGCAGGATCAGTGTGTATGATGAGTGGTGTATTGACCAGCAGTTGAATGTCCTGTCCTGCATAAATGCAACCAAATACTATCAGTATGAACTGTGCCAAACCTGCACGCCGCGAGAGATGACTCAGCAGCGAGAGATGACTCAGCCGCGAGAGATGGCTATAGCGAGAGCTGACTCAGCAGCGAGAGATGAATGAGCAGCGAGAGATGACTCAGTCGCGAGAGATGACTCAGCAGCGAGAGATGACTCCTCCGCGTACTACACTTGTACTACAAAGTGGCCAGTTCTCAGCTTCCAGCTCCACAGGTTGTTCCGCGTGCTAAAGTTGTACTAGAAAGTCGCCAGTCAGTTCTCATCTTCCAGCTCTACAGATTGCTCCGCGTACTGCAGTTGTACTACACAGTCGCCAGTTCTCAGCTTCTAGCTGCACAGATTGCTCCGCGGACTAAAGTTGTACTAGAAAGTCGCCAGTTCTCAGCTTCCAGCTCTACAGATTGCTCCGCGTACTAAAGTTGTACTAGAAAGTCGCCAGTTCTCAGCTTCCAGCTCACAAATAGCTCCGCGTACTAAAGTTGTACTACAAGAGCCGCCAGTTCTCAGCTTCCAGCTCCCCAGATGCTGTGCCTGCCACGAAATCTGCACATGGAGGTTCACAAAGTGCTGTGCCTGCCACGAAATCTGCACATGGAGGTTCACAAAGTGCTGCACCTGCCACGAAATCTGCACATGGAGGTTCACAAAGTGTTGTGCCTGCCACGAAATCTGCACATGGAGGTTCACAAAGTGCTGTGCCTGCCACGAAATCTGCACTTCAAGAAACAAGCGAAAACTCTAACCCCAATGGAGGGACGATTCCGACCATGCCCGAGCATGACCCAAGACCGTCTCGCAACCATCGTTCCGCAGACCTTGACTTGCCAGCTTCGGAGCCACCGGTTCCATTGAAAAATACAGCATTTCGTGCGTTCGCTATCTCTCCACAACGCAGTTTGTATTGCGCCTGCCACGAAATCTGCGCATGGAGGTGCACAAAGTGCTGTGCCTGCTACGAAATCTGCACATGGAGGTCACAAAGTCCTGCACCTGCCACGAAATCTGCACATGGAGGTTCACAAAGTGCTGTGCCTGCTAGGATATCTGCACACGGAGGTTCACAAAGTACTGCACCTGCCACGAAATCTGCACATGGAGGTTCACAA